CGGCAAAAGCAGCGCTGTATGCTACCGAGCGCGTCCCCAGGTCGCGGATAAAAGAACGGCAGTTGCCCAACAAGGTCCTACCAGAGAAGGCGAATGAACTAATCGACCGGTCACCAACTCATCTGGAACAATACTGCTGCCCTGCAGTTCGCGCTTGGTTGTACAAAGGTTAGAGTACATCCTAGAACAAGAACTACTCTGGACTGGGCGACTAAGTAGTACAACAGCCCATAATGCAAACAAAAATGAACCTCAACTTGAGCAATAATTCGCTCTTACAGTTTTCCTCTCTCAGAAGGCAGCTGAGCAGTATTTGAAAATGACAGTCCGTTATGGGTTTGTGTACAGATAATTGGATCTCGTTCACATCCCGTGTCTACTGCGCCCTGTCACTCAATAAGGCTACACAGGATGGCTTTTGTTAAGCCGAAAATTTAATCATGAAGGTCAAAGGGTAGAGACCAGACAATGTCCAATCTCCTGGTTGGAAGTTCTAATTCAGTTAGCGCCTCAGACGGGAAAAGTGCTGGATGAGTAGTTGATTCGGTTAAATGAGTGGGGACTCATTAAAACACTTCAACTTGTCCCAAGCCTGAAGTTACAGAGACTGCTTACTACAAATACTACTACTGGCACTAGTCATCCACCTGTGCAGAAAGACGTTCAAAGAACTTTATCGAAAACATTTGATAAATCTTACCGCAATTTTTAACGCCCAAGTTGGCTCGTGCGCCATGCCAGCCACCTGGATCTCGACTTTGACAGAGAAGACCGTCTGCATCGATTGCCATTGCGTCGGTACGATCGTAAGGATTCAACTTCATAACTTGCGGTTTCGATCCACTCGATCCGTGCGCGTGGTGCTAGATGAGGATAGTGGAGACGGTTATTCGATTATCCGAAGCCACACTTACCCGTTTTCCCGATTGAAATTCCTTAAGAGTTTCGTAAACAATCTGCAGAACTGGTAGACAGAACGCGCCAGTCTTCCCGCTTCCGGTTTCTGCAGCCATCAGTACATCACCACCTCCAAGAATCAACGGGACAGCTTCCCCCTGAATATCAGTTGGCAAAATCCAATCCATTTCTTGCACTGCCTTCGACAGCTCGGGCATTACGCCCATTTCTGTCAGTAGGAAAATAACCGTTAGTTATAAGATATCACTAACTGATAGACACGCTACAAGACAGATGAATTTCATTATATTACATTCGTTTTAATCAGATATGGGATCCTGCTTGATGCATTAAAAATAGCCACTGTCAGGAACTATAATTGATGCAATACCACACTTATCATATCGTTACAATAACCTCGTTTGCGAAAAAAAAAACACTCCCTGGGCACAATGAATGAATGAAGGGACAAATGACTACAAGATACATGCCCGATGAGCTGTAAGAATCGCGAAACCGTCGCGTGCTTATGGGGGAATTCTGTACAGTTATTCATATACTACTTATTGTAATATTATATATATATATATATATATATATACACGCTCAGTCGTTTCGATGTCAGACCTAAATTGAGGTTTCCATGCATCAAGTTTTCAACAGCACCAAACAAGACAATGAAAAAACTCAAGACGCATTAGCTCAAAATATCAAGTTTCTTAAAACAGATAGTGCAGTTTTGGGTCCACTATACCAAAGGAAAAATGATGTGATAAGATGCAACGAAACTATTAATGAAATTGAATTAAACGGAATCGGACAACGCTGATGGTTTGCTAAATTTTCAAAAAGCTTTGGTTAAGCAAGAGATCTACAAA